AAACTAGTAATTTCACCCCCTATAAGAATCACCGGAGTACACGAGTATTTCAGAATTCAGTTATACTGAACTTCAGTTGATGATGCACCGCATGTGATTTATAAACCATCACAATACAATTTGGAGGATTTAGTCGATTACAGAGCATTCAATCTAGATCCGACTGCTGAAAGCATAAAAATGGTTGGTAAATTGTTCGTATTTTTGGCGATTTTAACAATCTTATTTATTGCGTTCAAGCGTTCAAGCTAGCTTTCTAATGAGAATTCACCAACACCATAAGGTTTTGATTGCTGGCGAGATCAGTTTTATTCATTTAGATTGCTCAAGAGGACACGAGGTTTATTATGTTGACTGTGAGCTCATTGCTGTTCTCTCGAAATGTGGACTGAATGTTTCGTTTCAGGAACCATTCATACCGCTATCAGCCGAAGGTGCGCCTTCAGAATACGCATTTGAAAAACAAGAAGTTAAACTGCAGACATAATGCTTGCTTCACTCTTATCCATCCTCATTCCATTCATTGTGATATATATCGCTTTTTGCGATGAAAATCAGCAGCCAATCTTATTCTAGGTATTATCGATGGAATAAAAATTGATTTCTTTTCTGTTTTGCATTCAATCGTCATCGGGATGGGTGCAGACAACCTTGATAGAACGAGGATAATCCTGTTGGTCATATGAACCAACTGTAGATGATTGAGGACATTGCGGTATAACTGATTTATAGCCGATTTATTGTGACTTTCTGGATTTAAGCAGTGATGCGCACGCTACGAACAAAAATTGACTACTGGATCGCTGATCCGCTGAACAAATACTTTCAGTCCACAGAAAATAACGCACTATCGCTAATGTCGCCGAAAAAGTAGCAAAAATTTTCACTGCAAAGCAATTTAGCAGAAGAGTCCGTTATTTGTTATCATTACTCACTACTTTCGAATGTTCGCTTAAACTTTGCAATTGCACTGCTTATTTGCACGGGGGAAAGCCTCATTGCGCCAATAGACAGTTTAAAATCTTTATTGAATCATTCAACAACATACAATCATTCAAACAATATGGGAGCGTGAATTTGAAAAAAAAAAAACAAACTTCTTTACATTAATAAAACAAATTTCAACAGTAAATCAGAACTACCAAATGATCACAACACTTCACATTCTACAACAACTTATAAACTAAACCTAATTCCAAAAGCAAATAGCCATCTAACTGGCTTATGCCGCTAACTCCAAAACAGACGAAATCGATTAGAATTGCTAAGAAGAATCCTAATGTTCTGTGGAGCAATTGTGCTTTCCTTCAGAGAAATGGCTGACTTTCTGAAGATATCATTTGATCAGTTGTTCGGCAGCGCTGTTATTTCCCTGGTCTTTTCAAACTCACAGATTGAAAAGAGTTGGATCAGTATGCTCACCGTATTGCAATCATCTGCACCGAACATAGCCGCACATATTAGTGTCGAATAAATATCTCCGAATATCTCACCACAGTTCTTTCATAAAGGCAAAAATGAGTACTATTCGAAAAAAATGCTCCACGGTGCATACGAACGTCTAAAAAGACGATATTTTTTAAATATATATTTCTATTTCAATTTTGAATACATTGCATCAATTTGCGCCGCAAAGTGTTTCTTGATATTCGGACGTTTCCCTTTCAGCGTTGGTGTTAGCATATCGTTCTCGATTGTGAATTGCTCTTGCGATACATAGATGTCTTTCACCTGAATAACAGTTCACTTACAGTCAGCAGCTGTTCTACATGGAGATGGTTGATAGAATCAGTAAACTGTTATTAGTGTTTGATTATTTGATAGAGAATTGAATCGATGGACCTGTTCAAAAGATTGCAATCCTCCTTTCTTGCCGATATCGATCAGATCCTCCAGAATGAGCTTCTTAAGTGCTTCATTTGAGCACAATTCTTTCAACGATGGATTTTGCATACCTAAATGGTCAGCAGCAGCCTTCTCTAACATCTGCAAGAACAAGTGACGTGACGGCGTGTGCAAGGCTCGTGATTAACGCAATTTACTTGTGAACACTTCATCGATTTGAGCTAGTTATCAACTGATAGTGCTCAGAGAAGTTGTTAATCTACTAGCAATATTCAAAAAAGCACGGACGCACTGAATAAGACAATCACTGCGCCGCTAATCATAATATGCTAAATACAAAAAGCCAGCTTGACCTTTTGTTCAGGAACAACAATCGCTATAAGACACGTTTTCAAGCTTTCGCCGTAAACGAATATTTGCATCACGTATTTGGAATGCTCATAAACATTCTCAATCTTCTCTGGTGCAATATATTCACCCTGCAATATATTTTCCACATGTTCTCAGTTGATTTTCAAAATGTTTGCAGAATTCAAGAATTTGATCATATGATTTGATCAAAATTGCGCATTACTCAAAATCGTTGAACTGAGATTCGCACAAAAACATAATATGCCACAAAATTCATGGCATTCGAGATTTTAAATTTCCGAATATCTTGCAAATGTTCAGAAAAGACAGTGGAGTAATGAAACGCTTCCGCTTGATGCTGTTTCCAAATTTAGCGTCAAAGATGTGACCTGTTGTAGTTTGAAGATGTGTTTCTTTCGATCGATGACTTTCAGTGTGCCGTGTTCGGTCCATTTGCCAATATCACCCGAATGTAACCAACCGTCCTCGTCAAGTGTCTCTTTGGTCATCTCGTCGTTCTTGTAATACCCTTTGAAAACGTTGTAGCCTCGGATACAGATCTCTCCTACCTAAACGTTAATGTGATCAACTGTCAATGGGCGACAATGAGAATGCTCAGTCTGATTGTTTCAGACGGTAATATTTCCGTTATATGAGTTCATTTCAGCTTTGCTTATGGCAAATTAAAAACACGGTTTAAGCAGCCATTACAAGCAACATTCCAAGAACGACTCACATCATCTGCAGCATAGTAGTTCAATTCAGGAACATCGATAAGTTTGATTGCGCAACATAACGACGGTATTCCGACATGACCTGGTGTCATATCGGTCTCAAGAGTAACTGTACCGACGGCTGCGCATTCAGTTTGCCCTGAAATTGCTTTCAAAAAACTACGCATCACTGACTTAATAACAGACTAAAATCTTCCTCTATCAGAATGCTCCTCTGGCAATTCTTTCAACCATTCTCTAAGAAAACGAACGATATGAGGGCTCTATTCAAGGACTATTTTTAAGTTTTCAACATTTATTTGATATTTGTTGATATGAAAGATTTCCATAAAACAAATGAACATCTGTGCACATCATAGCTGTAGCAGTTCCTAACATTATTGTGATCGATTGTGGTTGCATGAAAAGCTATTGTCTATGACACGCTCAGTTGAAACGGACTGATTTAGATGAATTCTCATTCTTTTCAGACGTGTTGTATTCACTCTCATAGCTATTACATGCAAATACCGTTCTATTGATAACTTTTTCTCATTCACTTCGTCTCATANTGAAATGAATGAGAAATTAGCAGAAGAGCGCAATTTTGGTGATAAAAGCTATGAGAGCGATTAGAACAACAAGAAAAGAATGAAAACCCTGTTAAAACCAACGAAAACCCTGTTAGGCCCTTACGAGCTGATGATACTCAGAAAACAGGAGAATGTTGCCATCAACTAACCGCATTTACATATTGGACTTAAAAAACACCATCACAATGGCATTCTACAGTAACATAACAACTGCACGAAATACTAGTTTCCCGACCGTCCCCATTACCCCTTGACACCTCCAAATTACCCAAAATGGGTAAATTCCTCCTATGAAAACCACTAGGTTAGGTAATATTTATGGAGTATGCATATATCACATACCGTATCCTTCCAATATAATACAGCCCATAGCTGCACGAGCGAAGCTGAGCACATCTGGAGCGATAGGTGCTGAGCCAATAGTCATAAAGCGAATATTCCCTCCCATTTGTTCACGAATCTTCTTGAACACTCTCTTGTCGAAGATTGAATCATTTCTTATGATACCTCTTAAAACAATTATTTGAAATACTGTAAGATTCCGTTGAGAAAACCTCTTGCATCCTATTCTTTTGCTCAAATCATACTTTCATTCAACTCAGCACAAAATCGACAACATTGATGAATATTTCAGATAGTATCAATATCAATTTTTAGAAATATTAGTTCATTTCATTATTAGTGGAAAATTTGTATCGT